ACAGGAGAAGGAGTTTCATATTCAAGAAAGGTATGGTAACTTGCTTGGCAAGGCCAAGACAGTTAGTTAGCATTGAGAACAGCGTTTGGAATGCTTCATGGCAGGCAGTCCAGCACCTAACCTAGCATGAGACAGCAGTCTAACTTCTCCCAAAGATCAAGAGCCTACAGGTCAGCCCTGGAGCACTTAAGCCAAGGGACCAATATACTTTACTGTTGTAAGAGGCATTATGCTGGTGACCGACTGTAGGAGTTATGGCAGCCTCTACTGGATGCGGAAGCTAAAAGATGGCACTCTGATAGGGCCTTTCCTCCCAGCATTGTTACCTAGGTTCTCCTTCTAAAAGTTTGAATCTAGTTTAGCTAGTTGTGTGAGCTTTGAAAACAGTCTTTGTATTTACCTCAGCACTATGCGATTCATCACCATCATTTTGGCCTGTGCTTCTCTTCCATTCTAGCCAAGACTGATATAGCATTTTCTGGGCATCGTGAAGTTTCTGACTGGCACTATTCATGTTCTTTCTGGTATACTCCATCTAGAACACAACCAATGACACAAAGTTTTGAAGCAGGTTTCAGCTGAGTGGAAGTACTAGCAAGTACTTGTATGCATTTTTGGTTCTCCTTAGTAATCAGCTTGAAAGAGGGTTGTTGGTTGGGGTTTTTTTGTTTAGGTCTACAAGAGATGTCTTTATCTTCCTTTTCTCGCTTGCCACCAAAAAGCATTAGAAATAGCATACAGGGATGAAAGTCTAGGCATAAGTTTTCTTCTTAGGGAGGCATAGAACTTATTTAGTAATGTTAATACTAAATGTTACTGAATAATACAAGAGCTCTCAAAGTATTTAGAGCCAACTACAGTTAGTCCCAGCAAGATTATATAAAGAACCCTACTCAATTCTATTAGCAAAGGAGGATTCTTGACCTTCTTTGCCAATAGAATTGCATTGCATTCCTTAAGTGAATGAATGGTCTTGAAGTTCTGGGTAAGCTAGCTCTTTAAAGTCAGGGAAGATGTTAAACAAGGCCAAATCACCAACAGCAGTAGTTTTCTAGTTGGTCAGGCAAACCAAAAATCTCATTTAAAAAAAAAAAAAAAGAGAGATACCTAAAAAGGATGGTATTAAGACAAGCTCCCCTCCTAAAGGCATAAGACCTCTTATATTCTTAACTGTTTAAAAATTTGTTTTTCCACCCATCTTTGGCAAGTTGTCTTAAGTAGGGACTATATTAAAAACCACTCTTCCAGTAGCAACATATAAAAATTTAAACACCAAATAAGAGATTTAAAAAAAAAAAAAAAACAAAAAACTTACCAGACCAACCATGTTATTGAGCTGTGAAATGGTCTCTTGGCTCCCGTGTTTAACATCTTTAACTTTGTTTAAGGCCCGTTGGTAGGCACGTGCACGGACTTTAGAAGATAGGGAACCTAATCTAACGTAGTAGCTCTGCTTTTGAACTCCAGCTTCAAAGCCTTCAACCTCTGTCACGTCTTTTGCGAGAGAGAGAGAGAGAGAGAGAGAGAGAGAG